AAAAAAAAAAAAAAAAAAAAAAAAAAAAAAAAGACTAATGGATTCCACAGTAAATTAAACAGCAGAGGAGAGACTAATAATTGAACAATAGAAAATACTCAGATTGAAGGACGTAGAGCCAGAAAAAGTAAAATACAGGAAAATCCATGACAGATTAATTGCTGGTATGCCATGGACACCACTATTTCCTGCCCTGCTGGGGATGGGGGAGGTATTGAATTCAGGACCTTGCACTTGTGAGGCAGGCCCAGCACCACTGAGCTAAATCCCCAACCCAATACCACTGTTTTTGATAGAGAGGAAAGACAATGATAATGATGATAAAGATGATCAAGTGTTTTAAAAGCTGGGCATGGTGGCGCACGCCTGTAATCCCAGCACTCAGGAGGCTGAGGCAGGAGGATCACTATGAGTTCAAGACCAACCTGAGCTACATAGTGAGTTTCAGGGCAGTCTCAACTACATAGTGAGACCCTGTCTCAAAAAAACTGTTTTAAAATGTTGAGTGTCATCCAGTCACAGATTTAAGAAGGCTTATATGATCTCTAAAGAAGATTAACACAGGGCCGGGGATTTAGCTCAGTGGTTCCACCGCCTGCCTCGCAAGCACAAGGACCTGAGTTCACTCCCCGGTATGAAAAAGAAAAAAAGAAGATTAACACAAAGAAAACATACTCAATTCCACCATAGCAAAACAGCTAAAAGACAAAGTCAAGGAAAAAAAAAAAACCCTTAAAAATAGCCAAAGAGAGGAGCTGGGGATTTGGCTCAGTGGTTCTGCTGCCTACCTTACAAGCACAAAGGCCTGAGTTCCATCCTAGTACTCCCTCTACCCACACACACTAGCCAAAGAGAGTAAAACCTATTGATTAAAAACAAGCTGTAATCCCAGCACTCGGGAGGCTGAGGCAGGAGGATTGCCACAAGTTCAAGGCCAGCCTGAACTACATAGTGGGACTCTGTCTCAAAACAAACAAAAAAGGAAACACATTTTTGGGGAGGAAGAGATGCGGTCTCACTATGTTACACAGGCTGGCTCTGAACTTCTGGGTTCAAGTGATCCTCAACCCTCCTGAGTAGCTGCAACTATAGAGACACCACTGTGCCAGCTAAAAGTTTTATTCCATTTCATTTGTTCATTTATTTGCTTGTTATTCTGGCGATCCTTCTGCTTCAGCCTCCCAAGTGCTGGGATCACAGGTGTGGGCCAACACATGACTTCTACCAACGTCCCTGCACTCAGGAAGATAATAAAGTAGTTGGTTTGGAAAGAAGAAAAATGACACCAGGTGGAAGCACGAGCAATGCAATAAAAAATAATGAGCCTGGGAAGGCCAAGTAGGTGGGAAGCTCCAGACCATCAGGAAGGAGAGCCTGGTCTTGGGGTTCCAGGCTCCAGGGCAGCAGGGTGGCTCATAGTGAACTGAACGTATCTGATCCACTAATCACAGGCTGGACGTGTGCAGCTTGCTTTACATTAGTGAAAGAAAAATTGCATCTGGGAGAATAAGCTCAAGGCACAAAGAAATCCCCCATGCTGGTGGCTGGTGTCGCGGCACCTGCTCTTGCTGTTTGCCCACCTCTCATCTTCGGCGGTGAAGAGAAGACGATCTACCCTTCATGGGGGGTTGCGTAACATGCCTCTCGTCTGTGGTCCAGGCCACAAGGGCAGGAGGCTGCGGAGGGCACGAAGACAGGAGCCACAGCACCTGCTGGCCAGGAGGCGATGGAGAGAGGAGGAGCCGGTGCTCAGCTGCCATCTAAGTGCCCGGTGGCCCGGCGGAGGGAAGTGGCCACACTGTGCTGTGTGTGATGTCAGCCAGCTGCTTTCTTGCCTTGTCCCAGTGCCCCCTTCCTTTGCTGTGGCCTATGTGGCACCATCGCACTGAGCTCCAACACTGCCAACTCCAAGCAGAGCCCAACCCCAAATCCCTGCTACTGTGCCTCCCAGATACAGACGGTGGAAACTTACCATGCTCCGTCATGGAGGGAGCTGGCCATTCGCCCTCCTAAGAACGGATTCCTCTTCCAGATAGGACGTGCTCCCCCCACTCACTGCCTCTGCCAGCACCACCATCTGAATGGTTTCAGAATGCCCTATCTGTTGTCATGGTAACCCATACACCATCATCTCCAAGTAAGGAACTCTGGATGGCAAAAGGCATGTGGCACTGAATTCAGGGGCATAGAAGCCGTTGTCTTAGGTGAATTCATCCCTTGCAGCATTTGATGAGTCTGGGGTGGCCACTAGAGCCCAGTTACAGCGCCCATAGGAGGACAGACTCACAGTGTGGAGGGCACCCGAGAGGACAGGGTAGATAAGGACAGGTTAGATGAGCCAGTGGCAATGCACCAGGTGATTCTCCCAGAGCCAGGATCTGCAGGTCCAGCTCCCTGACCGGGCAACACTGGAGATGCTAATTTCATTGCCAGAGGCAGAGGGGTTGGAGAGTTGGGGACGGAGAAGACTGGAAGAGGTCGTTTAAGTACACAGAGGAGAGGATGGCTATGCCCATTGTTTCAGGATAACCTCTTGGAATGCTTGCTTCTCCTTCCCAGAATCTTGGGCTGGGGGCCTGGAGGTCCTTGTGCCAAAAGAAGGAGCATCTCTCTGTAAAACACACCCGCTCTGGTTCGTTCTTTTTGGTGTGGAATCGGAATCGAACACCATGGAACAGATGTGCCGGCCACTCATCCCCACAGTGGCTGTGGACATGTGGTCCGGGAAAGCCCTGCTGCCCTCCACAGCGTCTGGGACCAGACAGGGCTTCCCCACAACGGGCCGTTCTGCAGCCTGAGCGACTTAGTAAGACCCTGTGTCAAAATGAAAAACATGAAGGGGTAGTGATGTAGCTCAGTGGTAGAGCAAGAGTTCCATCCCCAACATCGCAGATGTAAATAAACGGACAAATGAGTGTAAAGCTCAACTTCCAGCCCCATCCCTTTCCTGGGGATGGAAAGTTAGCAAGGCAGCTGCCCCTCTCACAGGGACATTTGTGATGGCCTCTGGAGATCATCTGGATAATCCCAGAAAACCTCTTTAGACCCTTAATCACACCTGTCAAGACCTTTTCCAGAATATATAACTTTATAGAGACTGAAGCCTTCAGATGGGGCCTTAGCTGAAGCCATTACGAGCCCAGCACACAGTGTGGACACAGCAAGGACTCCTCCTGTCGCCCAGTCACAGCTCTGCCCACCCTCTGTCTCCACCCCCTCCCTAACTCCTGCCAGTCACCAAGCCATGCTATCTCTATAATTTTACCATCTCGAGAATGTGTATAAATGGAATCCTGCAGTATGTAACATTTTGAGATTGGCTTTTCCCTCCGTTGGCTTTTTTTCACACTTACAATTAACTTGAAATAACTTTCAATTATTTGAGATTCCCCTGTGTAAGTTGGGTATATCAGTGCTTCTTCCCTTTTTGTTGCCGAATAATATTCCACAGTATGGATATATAACAGTTCGTTTAACACTTTGTCCATTAAAGAACGCTTTGGGGTACTTCCAGTTTGGGACTATTATGAATAAAGTTCTATGAACATTTGTGTGTAGATTTTTGGGTGAAAATGAAATCTCATCTCTCTGGGAGAAATGCCCAAGATTGAAATTGCTGGGTTAAATGTATATGTAGTTTTATAAGAAACTGCCAAATGCTTTCCCAAAGTGCTGCACCCATTGCATTCCTATCAGCCACGTATGGGTGACTCAGTTTCTCCCCATCCTAGCCTGCATTGGACATTGTGACTATTTCAGATTTAGCCACTCAGCTCTGTGTGGCATGGAATGGCTGCTGATTTGATGGTTTATCTGCCATCTCCATGTCCAAACTCCTGCAGTGTCTCTGTCTTTTACTCACTCACTAGTAGAATTATTTGGGTTTACCCCGGGTATGGTGATGCCCACCTATAATCCCAGCATTTGGGAGGCTCAGGCAGGAGGATTGCCATGAGTTCAAGGCCAGCCTGAACTACACTAAGAGAACCGTTATTTGGGTTTTTCCCTCTAATTTTCAGATGTTTTGTATATTCTAAATACCATACTGTTTCTCTGGTATGTGATTTTTATATAATTTCTCTTATGCTTTAGCTTTTATTTTTAATCTTTCACAGAGCAAGAGGTTTGTTTTTTTTTTAAATGAGATCCAATTTATTGATTTTTTTCCTTTTATAGATTAAGCTCTGGGTGTCAAGTCTAAGAATTCTTTACTTAGCTCTAGCTCTCAAAGATGCTCTCTGATATTATAAGAGTTTCATAGTTTTTAATTTTATTTTATTTATTTAAAATTTTTTTTTGCGTTACTGGGGGGATCAAACTCAGGACCTTGTGCTTACAAGGCAAGTGTGGTGCCACTGAGCGAACTCCCTAAATCCCTGGCCCTGGTTTTGTTTTTTGAGACAGAGTATCACTATGTAGCCCAGGTTAACATTTTCGTTGTTGGTAATGGGTATTGAACTCCCAACCTTGTGCTTGCAAGGCAGGGGGTGGAACCACTAAACTAAATCCCCAGCCCCTAGCCTAGGCTAACATTGCCTCAGCCACCCAGGTGTTAGGATAACAGACGAGTGCCCCTACTCCCAGCCAATGTTTTGTCTTTTACACTTAAGTCTTTGAACCCATTCTGGGTTAATTTTTGTATATAGTGCACAAGTTAGGGAGGATGATGTAGCTTAGCAGTACAGCACCCGCCTGACAAGCACGAGGTCCTGAGTTTGATCCCTGGTACCAAAAAATAAATAAATAAAGGTGAAGTTTTGCCTTTAGATAAGTGCACACCATTTGTTGAAAGGCCAACTTTTGTCCATTGAGTTGCTTTTAGACCTTTGTCAAAAATCAGCTGGGGCCAGGCATGGTGGAGCATGCTTGTAATCCCAGCACTCGGGAGGCTGAGGCAGGAGGATCACTGTGAGTTCGAGACCAACCTGGGCTATGTAGTGAGTTCTAGGTCCGTCTCAACTATGTAGTGAGACCCTGTCTCAAAAAACAACAACAATAAAATTCAGTTGGGCCAGGTATACTGGAGCACCCCACTAATCCCAGCACCTGGGAGGCTGACGCAGGAAGATCAGTATAAGTTTGAGGCCAGCATATGCTAACTGTGAATTCAAGGCCAGGCTGAATTACATTAAAAAAATCATTCAGGCATTTTGTGTGGGTCCATTTCTGGGTTCTCTGTTCTCTTTCTTTCTTTCTTTCTTTCTTTCTTTTTTGGTACGGAGGATCAAACTTGGGACCTTGCACTTGCGAGGCAGGCGGCAGAACCACTGAGCTAAATCCCCAGCCCTCTCTGTTCTATTGTATTAGTCTATGTCTAGTCTTTGGCCAATAACACTACACTATCTTTATGGCAGAACTATACAATGAGCCTTAGCAGGGCTCAAGTGATTCCTACTTCATTCTTCTAGTTCAAAAACATGCTCTCTATTCCAGTTCCCTTGACTTTCCATATACATTTTTTGTTGTTGCTGCTTTTCTTGGAGGGGAGGATTTGAGACAGGGTCTCTCTTAGGTAATTCAGACTGGACTTGAACTCATTATGTGGTCTAGGTTGCCTCAAACTTGTGGTGATCCTCCTGCCTCAGCCTCCCAAGAGCTGAGATGACACTGTGTACCAACACACCCACCTCTATATAGATTTTAAAACAATATTCTCTTTTTCTACAAAAACACCTGCTAGAATTTTGTTAGGAATTGAGCTAAAACTGTAGGTCAATTTTGTAATAATTGATATTTTTATTAAATCTCCTAAACTGTCACCTTGCTATATCTCCCCATTTATTAAGGTTTGCTTTGTCTTCTTTTATCAGTGCTGTGTGGTTTTCAGCACCCAAGTCCTATGAGTGTTTTGTCAGACTTGACCTGATATTTGTGTTTTGCTGAGATCAATTGTAGATGGAATGATATTTCCAATTTCAGTCTTTGGTCTTGCACTACCTAGAAATGCAGTTGAATTTGCCTTTTATATCCCAGGGTCTTGCTGACATTACTTATGAGTCCTAGGATGCCTTTTGTAAACTTCCTGGGATTTTCTATGCAGACAATGTGTCTGTACATAGGGATGCTTTTATTTCTTCTTCGTGGTCTCTCTGCCTTTCATTTCCTTTCTTGCCCTGTGCACTGGCTAGAACTTCTGGCAAGGCACTGAGAGAGGCAAGGGAACAAGTCACTGCCTTTCCAGATTTGGGGGAGACACATTCAGCCCTTAACCAGTAGCCCAGATGGCCTTTGTCAAGGCGAGGAATTTCCCTTCCCTTTCTGTTTTCGTGAGAGATTTTTGTTTTTGTTTTAAAGTCATGAATAGATGTTGAATTTTGTTAAATGTGTTGTCCACATTGTTTTGATATGATCTCGTCACCTTTCTCTTTCTGTTTGTTAATACAGTAAATGACACTGAGTTTTTAATATTGAAAAGGATGGACTGAATGTCCCACTTTTTTTTCTCATTGTCTGTCTCTGATAAGTTCTAAATAGGGAGACATTTTTTGGATTTTTTTGTTCACTGTTATATTCCAGTGGCTAAAGCAATGCTGGGCATATGTTAAATCCTCAACCCTCGTTTATTGAATAAATAAAAGAGGTGAAAGGAATTCCCAAGACTGGGCTGACAGCTGTGGTAGCTGGGCCAGATGGGCACAGAAGAGCAGGCCCCAGGAGAGTCTGCTGAATCTGCAGGCTTGGAGAAGCGCTTTCAACTCTCAGCCAAGATTGGAGTCGACTTGATGATAATTACACAGAAACCTAAGCAAAGAAATGTTTTTTTAAAGGAGATAATTATCTTAGTTACTTTTCTCATTGCTGAGACAAAATACTAGATACCCAAAGTTAAAGCGGGAAGGGTTTGTTTGGCTACAGTTTATAGAGGTTTCAGTCCATAGTCGGCTGGCTTCATAGGGTGGCATCACAGAGGAGAAACAGTTCATGGTGGGCAGAAGGTAGCAAAGCAAGCAATGGATGACCACAGCTCTTTCTACCCCTTATATCTTATCCAGGCCACTTAGGGCAGGTAGCACTCACATCCTCAATCCTAGTGCCCTTGATCCTAGCATTGTACCATGAATGAATCCAGCATCACACACTCTGGT